CCTCCCATCCAGTGGCAAGAGTGGGCGCCTGCTGCATACCCCACCCAGGACCCAGGTGCGTTACCTCTGCCTTGCCCTCGTACCTGGGAAGGGGCCCTCTGCCTTCTGGGCTCCATCTGGTTCTGACTCCTCCTAGACAGCTGATCCAGAGTGACAGCAGCCGCTGCAAGCCCGTCACCAGCCCGGAGGCACCACTGTCCATCAGGTGGGGACACACTCAGTGATGGGCCCTCACGGCCAACTCCACCTGAATCTCAAGGTTCTTCCCCCTGACGCGCGTCCCTGAGACCACCGCCATCTGCTGGTAGGTCTCAGTACTGCATGCAGGGGGTGCCCTCCCAGACCACCTGGACAGCCCAGCCGCGACCTCCTACCCCCCGAAATTGTCCCCAAGGGTGGGGAGGGCCTGCCCAGTCCAGCTCTCGCAGATAGACTTGCAGGCGACGTGGCTGTGCTGTCAAATTCATCAAGATACAATTCACACGCCCTACAATTCACCTGCTCAAGGCGTACAATTCAGCGGATTGGTATTCGGTGTTGTGCGACCATCGCCACCATCTATTCCGGAACATTCGCATCATCCCAGAGGAACCCCGTGCCCATTGGCAGTCTCTCCCCATTTCCCCCAGCTCTCTCCAGCCCCTGGAAACTGCTGATCTACTCGCAGCCTCTAGGGATCTGCCAACCCGGACACTTCGTATAACGAACTCACGGGCTCGTGGCCTCTAGCGTCTGTCTGTCATAACAAACTTAGAGTCGCGTGCGCAGGCTTCTCCACGCTCTGACGCACGTCAGTCTTTCATTCTCTGCATCGCTGAGTGACAGTTCTTTGTGCGGCCACAGCACGTTTTATGTACCCATCCATCAGCGGATGGGCATTTGGGTTGTTTCCACGATGGGGTGACCGCGGGTGGTGCTGCTGTAAACACTCGTGTGCAGGTTTTGTGCGGATGTGTTTCCACTTCTCTTGGTACTTACCTGGGAGTGGAACTGCGGGTCACGTGTAACTCTGTTTTACATTTGGAAGAGCTGCCGGACTGTTTTCCAAAGTGGCTGCGTCACTGTGCCCACTTCTCGGTGCCCTGCCTGTTCTAGCCCCTCCTTGGGTGTCACGTAGGGTAGCAATGTAAGCACAGGCCCCTGCGAGACCTTGGAACCAGCCCTGACATGCCCCTTACTGGCTGTGTGACCTTAAGAAAATTGCTTAATCTCTCTCAGCCTCAGTTTTCTCATCTGCAAAATGTAAATAATGACAGAACGTAGCAGACACTGTGAGCGTGCCACCCATGCACGTGGGCCCCAGAGCTTCCTGTGACAAGCCCCTGGGTTTCTTTGTCCGAGGGAAGCAGGCCAGAGTTCAGGGAGTGTCCCCTGGAGCAGCCCTCAACCACAGAGAGACTTGAGTTGGTGGATAAACAGCTCAGGTGCCACCCCAGGTGGGTGGCTGGTGGGGGATAGCAGTGCCTGCACAGTTAACCAGGTAGTCACAGATTGTGTGGGGTTCTGTGAAAGAAAATAACAAGGCCCTGTGAGAAAATAATGAGAAGGGGACCAATTTGGGGGAGGGTGGTCATGGAAAGTCTCTCTGAGGATGTGACATCCTTAGGAGTAAAGATTGAGAAGGGGCAGCCTTCTCAATCTCTGAGTAGAGGGAAGATTGTCCTCAGCAGGCAGCATGTGCAAAGGTCCTGTGGCAGGAAGAGCTGGGGTGGACAGAGCAGTGTGTTTGGAGCATTGAAAGTGACGAGGGGTGAGGGCCTAGGGAGCAGGGAGTGGCTAGAACAGCATCCTGATGCAAAAAGGCGATTCTTTTGAAAAAACCACAAGGCTTGCTGTGTGATCAGATGCTTAGTCTGCCCTGCTGAGATAGGAAGAACTTCCAAATAGACTTGTTCTTGCACAGTGCCAGTTCACAGAGGGAAGAAGTCAGAGAGAAACAGGAAGAAAAAAGAACCCTGTCCTAAGAATCAAATGGGGGGGGCAGGTCTCCCCAGTCAGACCCCCTCCTTCACGTGTGCAGCCAGCATCCCCCACTGCTGGGGAGGGTGAGAGGCAGGGACTTTGGGATGGCCCCATCCTTTCCAGAGAGCCAGGGAGGTTCACCTCACTCGGCCTGGGCAGCCTTGCCCTGGCGAGGCGTCTCTGAGGCTGCAGGGTGTGGTGCGTGGGGGGGGCAAACTTGGAAGCCAGCCACCCTGACCAGCTGCCACCTTGTCCGTGGTGCCCATCCATCCTGGCACCAGCTCCCCGGGGGCCTAGTGGAGGTGGTAACCCCTGCGCTGGGGTTGACTGAGGACCGACCCCACGTCATTCTAGGTCGTGAGTCTAGAGAACACAGGAGGCTCGGAGAACGGTGCGCCCCGAGTCAGTGCTCAGTGAAGGGGAGTGAGGGTGCTCACTCTCCCCACGACTGTCTCCCGACGGCGGCCGGGACCGGCATGGGGACGTTGCCGCTGAAATCAGGGTGCCGCCAGCTGCGCGCCAGGCACCAGCGTCACTCCTGGCCTGTGTTAGTGCATTCGGCCTTTGCAACAGCTTTGTGCAGTGGGTGTCACTGTCGTCCCCGCTTTACGGAGGAGGAAACCGAGGCTTAGAGAGATTAGAGCGCCTGGCCTGGCCTCACCCCGACCTCTGTCTTCGTCCTCACGGGGTGTTCTCCCTGTGTGTGTGCATCTGTGTCCGAATTTCCCGTTCTCCTACGGACCCCTGTCAGATTGGATTGGGGCCCACCCTAATCCAGTGTGATCTCATTTTTTTTTTTTTTTTTTTTGAGACAGAGTCTCACTCTGTTGCCTGGGCTAGAGTGCCGTGGCGTCAGCCTAGCTCACAGCAACCTCAAACTGCTGGGCTCAAGCGATCCTCCTGTCTCAGCCTCCCGGTAGCTGGGACTACAGGCATGCGCCACCATGCCCGGCTACTTTTTTCTATATATTTTTAGTTGTCCGATTAATTTCTTTCTAATTTTAGTAGAGACGGGGTCTCGCTCTTGCTCAGGCTGGTTTCGAACTCCTGAGCTCAAACGATCCGCCCGGCTCGGCCTCCCAGAGTGCTAGGATTACAGGCGCGAGCCGCCGACCCGGCCCAGTGTGACCTCATCTTAACTAATCACATCTGCAATGACTCTGTCTCCAAATAAGGTCACATTCTGCGGCACCAGGGGCTAGGACTTCAACATAGCAATGTTGGGGAGGGGACGCAGTTCAACCTGTACCTCCCTCCTAAGGCACACCCGAAATAAGCTGCTTGGACTCCACAGGAGGGTCAAAGACTGACCCCAACGCAGCCTGACAGCTGCAGAAAATGTACATTCTCCTGCCGAATCTGTTTGAAATATTAACCGAGAGCCCTCCAGCTCCGTGTCACCCCACCTTTGTCAGGGACTGCCTGTCAATCCTGTGGCACAGAGTGCTGAGGCGGATGCACCGCCGCTCCCCCTTAAAACCGCATGCCCTGGACAAGTTTGCCCCACCAAGCCTCAGTTTCCGCATCTGTGAAATGGGAGTAACAGGAGCACCTGCCCCATCTCATGCTGGACAAATGAGAGAACCACAGCAGTGCCCGCACGAGTGCTGCTGCTCCTGCTGGCTGCCATGAGTGCGCGCTCCTGCGGGGGACGATTCCTGGGAATCTCACCTGCCTGGGGGCTGGGGAGCCTTGCCGAGTCTTTGCCAAGCTTTTCACACATGTTGCACATGTGCAGGGGTGGAGCCCGGCCTCCTCGTGTGGTCGGCCAATTGGTGTGGACCTTGGGCTCTCTGAGCCCGGCTGGGGCAGGGGGACAGACAGCCATGGTCCGCTGGGGCCCAGGCCAGGCCCTCGCCTGGATCCCTGCCCACACTGCCGGGCGCGGGGAGAGGCGAGTGCATTGCCCACGCCCTCTGGCTCTCACCTGGGCTCGCCCAGCAGACCCTGCCCTACAGCCGTTGTTGGGGAGCAGGTGCGGGGAGGCACCTGTCCAGGCAGACCAGTCCGAGCCTCACTTTCTTAGGCAAAGACAGGAGTGCTCGGGGCCCAGAGGCAGGGTGCAGGGACAAAAGAAGTAAGAGACCACAGTGCCTGACCTGACGCAGGTGCTCACAACTGTCCCCAGAGAAGCACGCAGCTTCGGAGGGAGGAGTTTTGGGGAGCTCTGGAACAAAGTAGACCTCCCTGCGTGTGCACACACACACACACACGCACACACGCACATATTCAGACATACCCAGGAATAAGACTCACTCATATAGGCATGTATGTACACACAGGCACACACAAACACATGGACACACACGCATGCGTGTACACGTGCACACACCGACAGGAACACGCATGTACCCACGTGCACACACACTCCCTCAGGAACGCACAAACCCCTCTTCCCGCGCACACACGCGGACGCACGCAGGCACAAGAATCCACACACGCGCACGTGCACGCATTAGCCTGCCGTTTCCATCCGCACAGACCATCTATTGGTCTCAAAAAATATTAACTTTCAAAAACCAGGGGATTAAAATACATCTTTAGCCCAATTTCTCAGAATACAATCTTCCATCCTAAAATGCACGTGATGCCAGCGATCTGGCACGGACTTTGCCATCATCCGAGCAGGTGCGTCCCGGGAAAAGCTGCAAGTGTTTCCTCAGCCTGCATCACAATCTATTAAATAACAAAGTAGATAAAATACTTTAATGTTTCAATTACACCAACCCCCACGCTGTGCCCTGCTGCTGGGGACTCCAGTCTGCTGGGGCGGGCACCTTGTTGGGGGAGGTCTTCCCCACGGTGGCGGGGGCTCCTTGCCAACATGCACCCGGGAGCGTCTTGCGTTCGCCACAGCCTGCTTCGAGCCCCGACGTGGGCTCCGCAGTTCCCGATTGACCTTCGTTTGAGAGCACCAGGAAGGGGGGCGGCGTGGGGGCCCCAGAAACTGCAGCCAACTCAGGAGCAGGACGGGGCCAGGGCCCGGGAGGAGAGTCGATGACGAAACCAGAGCTTCAGCGGGGACACTCGGGCCCTGGCTAGGCCACCCCAGCCGTGAGCCTGGAGCCCAGCCGCGGGGCTGGGGCACAGGAGGGCTTCGCGCCCCGGGGCCTCCCCGGCTGAGCGCCCCTGCCCGGGGGCCTGGCCTGGCCGCTGTGGAGCAGCCGCACCATCTCGTGGTCCTTGTGGTCCAGCACGCGGGGCAGGAACAGGCTGGACTTCTGCGTGCGGCGTGTCTTGAAGCCCCTGCGGGGCCGACCCTTGCCGTTCACAGACACGTACCACAGTCTCTCGGCGCTGGGCTGCCGCCGGGCCCCAGGCCCGCTGGGCACCGTCCGGTACAGCCGGGAGGCGTACGTGTTATAGCCCAGCTCGTGGATCCGCTCCACAAACTCGCACTCGGCGCTGTAGTGCTCCTGCGGGACAACACGCCATGGTCACTGGCCACGGGAGACAACGTGGCCTCCTTCCTGACACCTCCCTCCCCTCTGCTGCGGCTGCCGGCCCCAGCTGCCTGCACCTGCCAAACCCCTGGGGACTCCTGGTCCTCCACGCCTTTGCTCAGCCTGTGCCCTTCGCCCGGCGGGCCCTTCCTCCCGCGTGTGCCTGGTGAACTTGGCCTTCAGCTCCAACATCTGTCTCTCTCTCTGTCTCTCTAGGGTGTTTGCTGAGCACCTCCGAGGAGCCGGCTTCTCCTTGCTCCTCCTCTCTGGGCTCTGCCAGCCTCCGTCCCCGGCCTGAAGGCGCTGATGGTGGGGGCAGCACCTTGTAGGGACGTGTGGTGTTGTCTGTGGAGCAGAGACAGGGCCTGCCAACCCCAGTGCCCTGGCCGTCTGCCCGCTGGCCTGAAGGGTCCCTGTCCCACACATCGAAGGAGGTTACACACACAAAAGCCAGGAGCCCCGCATGAAGCATGAGCGCAACAAACATAGTAAACTGCCCTTGGGACGGTGCAGCCGCAGAGCTTCCCACATAAGCAAGAAATTCACTTTGTCATCGAGATTAATGGGGACCCTTGTCAGGCCTGGGGTAGGGGATGGGGATGATAGGTGGGTCCCTGCCCTCCCAAGCACACAGTGAAACTCTAAACTGGAGAAGCTGTCACCAACGTCCCCGAGGCCTGTGGGAGGTCCTCTCAGGGGCTGCCTTGCGGGGTGCCCCCAGTCCGTGGGTGCAGAAGGGGTGGGTATGCCTTAAGCAAACCCAGCTGAGGTTTCAGTCCCTGCTACACGCAGGTGGGAATGTCTAGGGCCACCTCCCCAGGGGGACCACCCACAGGAGCTTGTTCATCCCAACCAGAAAGGGCCGACCCCTCCCAAACTGTGCGAGGGGCACGGTGGGGTGCAGGGCAGGCAGAAGGGTCTCCTCCCTTCTGGGCACTGGCCGCGGGCCAAGAGCAGGAGACCCTCGCAGTCTGTCCCCACCTGGGCAGGGTGTCTCCAAGGGGTGAGGACGAGGAGCAGCTACTGAGTGGCCCAAAGAGGGTCACAGGCTGGCCAGGCCCAGCCCATGGCCTGAGCGGTGTCTGACCAGGCAGGGACCTCGGAAGCAAGATGTTTTAAGCACCAAATCCTTTTCCCAGTGACGTGGACGCCCACAGCAGGTAAGGATGGAAGCCACCTCTCTCCACAACCCCACCCCGCCCTGCTCGCCTGCCCCTCCACAGATGCCCCTGGCTCCCGGGGTCCCAGTATAGATGTCACTGCCCAAAATCATCTTCCACAGCTTACAGTTGGGGAAACTGAGGCCAGGCGAGGTGCCAGGCCCCAAATCACAGAGGGATAAGACACTGTTCTGACCTACACCTGACCCCTACATAGCGTGGGGCTCAGGGGCTGTCTGGGAATGGGCGGGTGGGCTCAGGGCAGACTTACCCCGGCCCCTCACACTGGGCATGCTATGTCCGGGTCTGGCTCCCACTCTGGACTCTGAGAAACTCAGGGGCAGCTCTGACGCTCCTCCCAGTCCCTGGATCCTGCAGGAGGTGCATCCTCCCAGGGCTGGGGAAGCCAGACGGTGGCTTCCTCTTTGCAGGGACACACAGGGGGTGGGGGGGTGGGAGGGGTTGGAGGACATGGGTCTGTGAGCCTCAAAGGGCCGGGGACCTAGGCCCTCCTGCGTTCAGATCACTTGCTGCACCTTATCGGGGCACCTGGGTGGCCAAGATGACCAGGGAGGAAGGTGTCAACTCAGGGGCCAGAGTCACAGGTCCAGGGCCACTACCATTGGGACTGACTGTGGCAACACTTCCTGACCCTACTGTCACACCCAGACCCTTTGTTTGACAAGTCCCTTCCCCAGGGCCACTTCCACCCATGGAGCATGAGGAGGAAGTGACTCAGAGATGCCTGGTTGACAAGGTGACTTTTGAAGCATCCTGGAGGGGGACGGGGTCAGTGGCAGCACAGGTGGAGGGGTGAGCGGCTGCGCAGGTTGTTTGGAGACCCAAAGAGGCTCAGTAGACCGGAGGGGCCGTGGGCTACAGAATGGGGGATGGAGACAAGGCACCTGGGCAATCATTCCTGGGTGGCTGCGAGTTCCCCGAGGCCATGACATGAGCAGATTTGCTATTTAGGAAGACCCTTCGACACATGCCTAGCAGAGTGGACACAAGGCAAGTGGCCAGGACGCTGATTGGTGAATGAAGGAATGAAGGCAAGATGGATGGGCGGATGGGAGGAAGGAAGGATAGGTGGATGAAGGATAGATGAATAGATGAATGGAAGGAAGAAAGGATAGGTGGATGGATGGGTGGGTGGATGGGAGGAAGGAAGGAAGGAGGGGAGGAAGGCTGGGGGGTGGATAAATAGATGGATGGAAGGAAGGAAGGAAGAAAAGACAGGTGGAAGCACAGATGGGGGGATGGAAGCGGGAGAGGCTGCAGGCCAGTAGCGGGTCCCAAGGCTGTTGCAATGGCGCGGGTGGGAAGTGACAAGAGCCTGCATTGTCAGGTGCTGGCCTTGAGAATGAGGCAGGGGAGGCGGGGTGTGTGGACCGAAGAGATCCAGGAGGCACAGTCCGAGGACTTGAGATGGGCCAAAGTTGGGGCAGACAGAGCAGGTGGGGTCTGCCGTGACCCCCCGGCTGACCTGGGCTATGGCGAGTGGCGGGTGGGGCGATGGCTAAGGTGGGGGGTCAGGGGAGCTTGGGGGTCCAGTGGGGCGTGCTGCCCTCCGCCTGGGGTCTCTGAGCCAGCAGGACTTCTCGGGGAGTGACTCTAATCAGGGAAGGTAGGTCAGGGCTGGAACCGGGGGTGTCAGGTGCAATGGTCGCTGCCACACAGCAGATGGGCTGGCCTGTGCCAGGTGAGACGTGGGCTGAGGGCAGAGCCCCGGGAACTCAGGCGACACAAGGCAGGGTGGGGGGACAGCACTCCCAGTGAGGTGGCAGCACTCGGGAGGAGGGCACCAGGTGGCAGGTGACAGGATTGGCCCCCAGGCTACCTTGCCTCCCAGGTCATCTGCAGGACAGTGAGACCTTCTCTGTTGGGTACTCTGGAAAGTTCCACACCGTCCAGCTAGACTGCCTGGCTACCCCTGAACTCATCCCCCCACCCCAGGGGGCCGAGAGCCTCTCTCTGTTTTCCCTCAAAGCCAGGGCCATAAGTTCTCAGGGGTGGAAGCCACAGGTGGGCTTAGAACCGTGGGACCTCTTAGGCCGTGCTTTGTTCTGTCCCCCGAAATCCTGGGCCCTGGGGGAAGAGATGGTAGAGGCGTTTGTCTTCGCCTCCTGAGCCAGGAAGTGCAGTCCCCAGTGGGGACCGAAGTCCTTTTCTGTGATCAGTAAGGCCCATTCCATCACCGAAGGCCAACGAGGCCTCCTCCCTGCGGCGTCCCTCTCCTCAGAGGAGAGGGGTGGGTGCGGGTGGTCTATTTCAGGGATACAAAGTCAGCCCCCCTCACACGCAGCAGGGACACAGGGGCCCTGGAGTCCAGAAAGCCCCGGCCCACCTCAAGGAAGACTCAGACCCGACCCCGGAAAAGGCCCCCTTCTTATAAACCATGACTGGCGCGGGAGACTCTGCAAGAAGGTACAGAGGACCTGGCACCGCAAGGGTCCTGCCCCAGATGCAGCTTCTAGCAGGCAGCCTCTGGGCCAGAGGAAACAAATGGTGCATTCCACCTTTTGCACTTCAGTTAGCAAAACAGCTGAAAATCTGTGATGAAATAATTGGCTTACAGGAGGGTTTGCCCACCTCAAAGAGGGGCAGGAAAATGTTGGTGTGTGTCCCTGGCAAGCACAACTGAATAGAGAAGTAACTGCAGGAAGAGGGGCCGAGGGCCGCGTCCTCAAGGTTGTGTGTGGATGGAAAACCTCCGTTGCCAGGGAGGGACAGCCGAATTGCATGCAGTAACTAGCTGGAGGCAGCAAATTTCCTGGTCACATGTATCTTACTCCACGTCTTCCTCGGCCCTGCCTCTTGCGGGGAGGGACACTGCCAATGCCCACAGAGTCACGGGACCCTTTTTGGTAACACGGAGGCCCAGGCGGTAGATAGACCAGGTTCCGAACCCAGGTTCAAGTCCCCCGTGTGCTGGGCCATGGGTCCCACTTCCCTTCCTCTCGGTTCCTTCCTAAGAACTGCCCGCTCTTGCCTTTCCACCCTGGGAGGAGCCGGCTGAGCCGAGCCCAGCTCCCTGCTACCCTCGCCCCCCAGAGATCTCTGGCCGAGCCAGGCAACACCTCACTTCCCCCCAGGCTGGCTTGGGTCCATTTATTTCACTGGAAATTTGAGGGACAATCTCTCCCGGGCTCTCAGCTACCCTCATGGAAGGATAATAGTGACGACAACAAGGTTTGAGGGAACGTTTTCTAATCCGGCACCGCTGGAGAACACAGGGCACATCTGACCCCAGCAAGCTCCTTCCTCCCCAGGGGCTGTGCTCCTAGTCACTCAAGCTGGGGCATCCTATAGCAGAAGCAGCCAAAAGAGCACTGGGTGTGGAGTCGCAGACCGGAGCTCTGGTCCCAGCTCAGATCCTGCACAGCTCTAGGGAAAGGATTCTACTGCCCACATTCCCTCTGTGCCCTGACGTCACGGTCCAGTGAGGCGGCTGGCCCACCAGTGCCTGCCCACATGAAAGACGGGACTCACCGAAGCGTAGAGCCGGCCCCTCTTGTTCATGGCCAGGTACCGCCCAGAGAAGAGCCCCCTGATGGCCACGATGCCCACCTCCACCGCCGTGATCTCCAGGATGCCTGGGAAGAGTCAGGAAGGCTCGTCACCGCCGCGGCCCCCCACACAACCACGGCTGAGCACCAGCTGGCCCCGCCCAGAGCCCTGCGGCTCAGGGGAGGCAAGGACCACACCCCCCCAACAGATAGGGGTACCGAAGGGGAGACATCGGGGATGTCTTCTCCAAAATGAGCCATTCAAACCTGGGAGGGAAATAATGCAATTAACATTTACACCCACGGACGCTGTGCCAGGCATGGCAGTCCTGCAAAACGTGTGGTCTCCCAACAACCTTGCGAGCTGGTGTCATCGTCTGAGAGACAAGCACGCAGAGTCTACTAAGGTTAAGTGACCAGCCCAGGAGCACAGCTGGAGTCTTAGTGGGAATTCAAACCTGGGCTTCAGACAGGGGAGGCTGAGCTCTCAAATTACACCGTGGGGACCGCAGGGCCCAGTCCCACTGGGGAGGGAGAGTGGCCCCTGATGACGTCAGTTGATAATCTAATTCTCCCGGCGCAGAGAGGGTGCCCCAATAGACCTGGAGGAGACAACTGCAGGGGCAGGGGGCCTGGAGGTACCAGATGTGGGGCAGAAAGCTCTGGAGCTCACAGAGGGAAGCTGGCGGGTCTCACCCACTGCTAGTGTAAGAAAGTTTAAGTCTCCCCTAAGTCCTTTCCTTTTTGACACAGTGCGCTGTTGGGGTGGAGGTGGGAGTTGCGACAAAGGCTCAGACGGGGCCATAGCCCCCCACAGCGGCCGAGGGGGATGGGGGTGACGGGGCCATAGCCCCCAACAGCGGCCAAGGGGGATGGGGGTGACGGCTTGTATCCTCTCCGGAGGGACCTCTCAGAGCGTGCGCCTGGCACCCAGGACGTTTGCGATCGATCGTCCGATCACCAATCACCGGATCAAACGCGGGTCCGCTGGAGCTTTTGCTCCAGCGCGCGGGGGATGCAAACCGCTGGCCTCTCGCGTCCCCCGACGCAGGCTGGGCGGACTCCGCTGTTCTGGCCTGGGGACCAGCGAAGCGCCAGTCTGGATGCAGGGCAGGGGCGGCTGCGGGCGCACACCCACCTCTACCTCGGGACAGCCCGCCCTGGTTGCACCAGGAAGTTTGAATGGCCTGCGAGGGGGAGCCTGGATTTGGAGAGAACTCGGGTGTCTCTGCAAGACGAGTCCTGTGCACCAGGACCCCTGGCAACAGCTGGTCCCCACCGTACGGCCCCCGCCCCGCCAGACGCCTTCGCAGGGCTTGGGCTTTCCTCGGGGAAGCTGCGGTTTCCCGCCGCCGCCGCCTGAATCGGCCGCATGCTTCCTGCGCCCCGGGCCGGAGCCAAGCGCGGCGGGTCGCAGCGGAGGAGCTCCGCGGCCCTGGCCACACTCCCACGCTCCCGACTGCGGTCCTTCTGGGCCCTGAGCTCCGCTCTTTTGCTTCCCACTGAGGGCTCAGCACGGGGCCCAGGTCTCTAAACCGTGGAGCCTAGTGGGCCTCCGGCGGCGCGCGCCGTCCTGGCTGCCAGCCCTGGATGCGGGGCGGGCTGTGCATCTACACCGAAGACCCAGGGGGACGCCCCTCTGCGCTCCTGAGCCGCATCCTGCAGCCCGCACCCAGCGGCGCTGCCCCCAACCCTTCCTGTAGCTCTGCGGCCCAGGGCGGGGGCGGGAGGGTGCAGATTCCAGCGCCAGGAAAGGCGTGTCCGTCGGTGGCGGTGGTGGCCGCGGCCCAGGGACTCAGCTGCGCCAGGGCAAACGTCCTCCGCGCAGAGGCGGTCGCACAGGGCTGCCCCCTGGGCGGCCGCGAGCGTGGAGGGCGGAGGGGATGGCGGGGCGTCCAGGGTTCGGTAGGAGGAGGAGAAGTCATCAAAATAATAAAGAGGATGATAAATGCCTTGTCCAGATCCTTTTCTCCGACAAATTCAAAGGGCTTAAACTTGTCAGCGCAGCCAAATGCAGCCAAGCCGGGAGCCTCGGGGTCGCCTACCTCGCGCCCTCTTGGACTACGGGTCCGGCCGGACAGCGGACTCTGACAGCTCGCCCCGACCGCGGGCAGCGGCCACCGGCGCCCTCTTTGGACGTGAGTCCCCTCCCCCACAGCTCTCAGCGGACCCCAGCGCGCATTCTTTTCCCGGAGGTGGAGAGAGATGAGCGGACGCTGGCTTCGCCCTCTGGCAGCGGGAGGCGGCCAGTCCTCCCGGACACCCTTGGCGCTCGCTGTCCCTTCCCCTGGGTCCGGGCCCCTCCAGGGCGCCGCCGCTCTCCCCCGCGGGACCCCGGGCACTCACTGTAGGCGCTGTTCTCCAGGCTGCCGTTGACGCGACCGCTCGGGTGCAGCTGGAGGTGGTATTTGGTGGCGCAGTAGAGCTTGCGGCGCCGGGGCGCCCCGCCGAGGTGTTCGTAGACGCCGCCGCGGCCGCCCGCATCGCGCCGAAGCCGCGCCCCGGGGCCCGCCGTGGGCCAGCCGGGCTCCAGCAGGCTGAGCAGCAGCAGCCAGATCAGGCCCATCGCGGCATCGCGCCCGCCCCGCGGCGGCGGCTGCAGGCGAGCGCGGCGCCCATGGAAGGGGCGGCAGCCGAGCTGCGCAAGGCGCTCAGCCGGCTCCCGCGCGTGGCGGTGCGGACTCCGGCTCCGCGAACAAGGGGGGAGGGGGGAGAGGGAGGAGGGGGAGAGAGAGGGAAAGAGAGAGGGGGCGAGAAAGAGGGGGGGAGAGAGAGAGGGAGAGAGAGATCCTTTAATGTTCACCCAGGAGCGGTGAAATTTCCGTTGCTGCGCAAAGCGCTGGAAGAAAGGACGATGCGGCAACAAAAGGCCGACGTGGTCCCCGGGCAGAGGCGCGGGAGGCGCGGGCGGGGCGGGAGGCCGGCGGGTGGGGAGCCCGCGGGGCACCGGGTTCGGGCCGGGCGTCGCCTGCGCACCTCGCCCCCGCGCACCGCCGTCGGGCCGCAGCTCCGCTCCGCAGCGCGCCCTGCGCCCCAGCACGCCCGCCCGGCTCTGAAAGGTCCCTTCCCCGCCCCTCGCCCGCCCCCTCCCCCAGACCAATTATGCCTCGGAAAATTATAGACCGAGGCCTTGAGGCGGCCGCCCCAGGCCCTGTCACCCCCTCCCGCCCCCCATCAATCCCCCTGCACAATGGGACCGCCGCCGATGACTGATGTCCGTGAAAACAACTTGCGGGGAAGTCGAGCTGACAAACGCCCATTAAAGGCGGCGCATAATGAAGGGGGCCGCGGAGGGCAGCGGAGGGGAGGGCCTGGGGCGCGGGCGCGCGTGGGGGACCCCGGGTTTGCGTCTGCGCCGGCGCTTCCTGCAGGAGCGGCGTGCGGCGGGACGGCCGGGAGGACGGCTGGGAGAAGCTTTATCCTGTCGATGTTTGCGCACTTCGGGGCGGCCAAGGGTCCTGCCCAGAGAGGGGGCTGGGGAGGTGGCAGGAGGGACTGGAGAGCCAGAGCCAGAGTCCTAGAGAGGAGGAGAGGCGCAGGTGGAGGGAGTAACGCAGAAAGAGAGAACAGCGGAGACAAGGGAAATATGAACGACGAGAGAGGAGAGGGAGAAAGAGCGAGAGGAGACCAAGCGAGCGTCCAGGATGCCCAGAGGAAAAACAGGAAGTCTGGTGGCCACAGCGAGAAGGGAGGTGAGAGACAAGCACAAAGGCAGGGGAGTGGCCCAGCCTGCTGGTCCCACAGCAGCATAGATGCCCATAATGGCACCCTGGACTGCGTGGGGGCCCTCTCTGTTGGGGACCCCAGTGAAGAGGGGCTTCGGCTAGTGTTGGGAAAAGCCACATCCCCAGTCGCTTCTCTTGCTCCCCAGCCTCTGCCCCCAGTGGCCCCGTGGCCCCCTTGCCAGCAGGCTCAAGCAAAGGGGCTTTGTCTCCCAGGGCAGGGCACCGGGGGGTCCAGTGGCCTAGGCCACAGCCTTGGCTCCAAGTTGACCAGGGGCTCTGGGATGAGCCAGGTGGCTGGCATCCCCGTACCTCACGTCCGTATCAGGATTTGGGGTCCTGGCAAGTGTGCAGGGCACCAGGGGACTCCCGCGCGCTAGGCACTAGTGCACACCGTTGGGACGTTTCTAGCCATGGCCTAGTACAAACAGGGTAGCACGTCCTCCATGAGCACACTCCAGCGTACTTACAGCCTGAGGAGCCCTCCTAGAGGTGGGCACCCCGAAGCCATCCCCTAATACCTCAGTCCTGCTCAGGGTGTCTGGTCACTGCCCCAGGGCTGGCTTGGGAGAGCTGTCGAACTGTCCAAAGACCAGGCCACCGAATTGCTAGAGACCGGGGCTCTTAGTGATGGAACCTGCTTCACAGGGGACAGAGGAAGGCCCAGGGATGCCCCAAGGACAGAACCAAGAGAAGAACACGCCCAGTGGGGCTCCGTGTGCAGACCTGGGGGGGGGGGCGTGTCGATCACAAACTTCGGAAGAGAGCACAGAGGAACCGCATGAGGGATGCCCACGCCCTACACGCCTTCAGCTCCGCTCATGAGAGTCAGCTGCCTCCCAGCGCTGTTGTCGAGAACAGACAAGAAGAAATGCAATGTGCAGGTCCCCCCTGCCCCTCCGGAAGACTAGGAGGATCTAGGAAGATCCGACTGAGGCAATCTGGGTTTGCAGTCTCCCTCCTGCTCCACGCCGGGGCCCCCAGCAGTTCCCAGTAAGACTCCCCGCACAGGTCTCCAGCCCCACCGCTTGTAGTGAGCCTCTGCCCACCTCCAGGTCTGCCTGTGTCCTAGAACCTGGGGTGAGGGCAGAGGCTGCTGCCCCCGAGTAGGGGTCCGAGGGAGACTCGCTTCCACCGGAGGGAAGCCGCAGAGGGCAGGAGGTTCTGCTAGTTTGGTCCACGCTGTCCCATCGGCTTCTAGACGGTATCTGGCGCACAGCCACTCAGCGCACACTCCTGAATGAACGAATGAGTGGCTCGGCCACTTCTTGCCACGTGGCAGTGGCCACATAGCAGCGCCCTTCTGAGACTGGTTTCTCATGTACGCGATGCCCCATATTCAGTGCCAGGAACTCGGTGGAATCACCCCTGCAAGGTCTCCTGCCAGCGCTTCGGCGCAGAGCGTGCCCCATGGACCGGCGCCCACAGCTTATTACGCAAACCTCCGTGCCTGTGAGAGTGAGAGAGGCGTGCTACGCGGCTGTGCTGGGATAGCAGGTGTCCCCACCCCTACCTCGAGGTCCCTCCCGGCGGGCCTGGCTCACCGCGGGGTGTTCTCGTTAGCGCAACTTCTCTGAGGCAGCGGTGCTCTCTGGCTGTGCTTTCTATCTCCTGTGGGCCCTGGTGACCCCCCCATCCGACCCCAGCCCTGAAGTCAGAGGGAGTCGTCGGAAACCCAAAGCCGCCTTCTCCCACTGCCAGTGGCCTTAGTGTTAGCGGGACCCTGGGAACCCTCAGAACCCTCACCACTTACCCACGCCCCAGTCCACTACCCACATCTTCCCGGCCGGGCCTCCAGGCCTCTGCTCACCCGCCCAGTGGGTTCTTCCTCCTCATCTGAACCTCCCCACCTTTCCGGCCCAGGAAGCCCCCTGGACCCGTTCTGGCCTGTGCCCGCTGCCAGGCCCTCAGGCGCTTGGGCCCCGCAGAGGGAGGGGTGGGGGTCTCGTCCGCCAAGCCTGCTGGCCTGCGCTGGGCCAAGGCACCCACGCAACAGCGACCTCTGCCCCTCCCCATCTGGTACAGACCCAGGTGGGGGGCGCATAATGCGGTAATAGCGACCCTGTTAATTGCTTCCAAATGGTCAGCTGCAGCCACTTGACTAATTGGTCTCTTCCAGACCCCGGCCGGACACCCTCAGGCCCGGCCCAGGCCCTCCTCCCACCAGCCCCAGAACATCTGCCCAGGTCCCCCCACCCCCCGCAGAGCCCCTCTCGGCCCTACTGGTACCTGGTCCAGGTCCCCACCTCCAGCCCCTTCCCCAGGACGGAGATCTGAGGGAGGATGGAGGGCAGAGGACAGTGTCCTGTGGGGTGGTCCCAGCGGCTGGCAGTGACTATGAAAGGTGGGGCTGGCTCCTGGCCCCAAACTCACTCTCACTGTGCCCCCCGAGAGCAGCTGTGTGCTGCTGGTGGGCCCCTGAAACCCTGGGAGTGCCCCTGCTCAGCCCCACCTTACAGATGGGAAAGGGAGGCTCAGAGAGGCGAAGTGACTTGCCCAGGGTCACACAGCTGGGAGATGAGGTGAGGTGACGAAAACCCTCTGTCCACCTCAGCTGGGGGCACTTGGCTCTTTGTCCCCTAACAGGATGTGGGGTCTGGGGAAGTCACGCCCCCTCGGTCCTTAGCTTCCGGAGACTTAGGAGTCTCCTCGCAGCAGAGGCAGTCCCGGAATGTTCTCACCTGCACCCGCACCCCGCCTGCTGGGTGCTGCCTTTGGCTAGACCAGCTGAACGCCCTGCCCAGGTGCAGATCGCCAGCGCAGGTCACAGCTTGAGGAGGGGCCTTGCGCAGGCCGCGCAGAGAGTCAGGAAGGCCTCTTCAGCCAGCCTTGGGCTGCGGTGTGGGCTTGTTTGACTGTTTTTCTCAGCAACCCTCCTCCCGGAGATAACGTACTGCATTCCGTTTTCTCTTCCCCCTTGAGCGCCACCTCCATGGTCTACAATGAAACCTACGCTGTACGAAGGGCCCCCAGGACCAGCCAGGGCCACCCGTGCCTAAGAGGCAGGGCCTGGTCCAGCAGCAGCTGGAGCCCACCAGCTGGGGTGGGGGAGAGGCTCTAGCTGGCCCCCTGCTGGGGACCTCCTTAGCACCAAATGTCCCTGGGTTGGAGAGGCTGCTGTCCCCTGGGGCCTGCCCCAGCCCACGGAAGGTGCGGTTGCTGGGCACAGCGGGGAGGGAGGGCCCTGCATGCTGGCAGGACCTGGGCTTGGGCTGAGCTCCGGAATGGGGCAGCGGCCAGGGGAGCCACGAGGGCGGGGCGGCCCCCAGGGGGACAGCAGGGAGTGAGAGACCCAGAGGGGTGGCTCATGGCCTGGGGGCCTAGGGGTGTGGCTGCCCAAGCTGAGTCTTTTTTCTTTAAATTTGATTTTATTTTTTAATTTTAGAGAGCTTTATTGAGATGTAATCCACGTACCACACGACGCACCCGTTTAAAGGGTGCGACTCAGTAGTTTTTAGTACATTCACGGAGTTGCACAACCAGTTTTAGAACCTTCCATCGCCCGGTAAGAAAACCTCCTCGCCCCCTAGGGACCACTCCCCACTGCCCCCGCTCCCCGCCCCCAGCCCCTGGCAACGTTAATCTGCCTGTGTCCCCCATCTCCCCGTTCTGGGCATTTCCGTGGATGGGAGCCTACGCCGCGCGTCCTTCTGTCTGGCCTCTCTCGCTGAGGCTCCCCCACGCCGAGCGTGTCTCGGGACTTCGTTCCTCCTCACGCCTGAGTACTATTCAGCCGTGTGGACAGACGGCGTTCTGAGTAGCGGCTCACCCACCAGTGGGCATTTGGGTGGTTTCCTGGCTAGTCGGCTGTCACGAAGCCCCAGGCTGAGACTCAAAGCAGGGTCCTCTCTGGGGAGAGGGAGCAGAAACCAGAGGGGCCCTCTGTGCCCAGGGACAGACACCTCGAGCTGCCCCTTAGCTCCCCACAAGGACAAGGGCAGCCACCAGCCTCTGTCCCCCTCCACCTGTCAGTGCCTGGCTGGGAGCCGCCTGAAGAGCCGCTGGCATGGCTTGTACACGCCGTCCCCTCCCTGTGTCCTCACACGGTCATCTCTCCGCGTGTCTGTGTCCCAAGCTCCTCTTCTAAGGACACTAGTCTGACTGGACTAGAGCCACCCTGGTGACCTCACTTTACTTCAGGCACCTCTTGAAAGAGCCCATTGCCAACTGTAGTCACCTTCTGAGGTCCCGGGGTGAGGGCTTCAACATATGAATTTCAGGGGGACGTGATTCAGCCCAAACAAGCGCTAATGGTGATGTACGCCCCCCAGTGCTGTGGATGGGTGGGGCGGGGGGAAGACAGGCAGACCCCCACCCACACAGCCACCTGTCCC